TGAGCAATGAATATACTAAGAAAAAAACAAAAAAAAAATAATTACAAAAAAAAATTCGTAAAAATACTTGCAATTTGCATGTGCTTGACGGGATTGGAGCGGATTGCATCGGATTGGATAAACTGAAAATGTTGCTGCTATTATTTATTTACTTTGACTTTTGACTGCTGCGAAGCGAAATGCAAAATGCAAAATAAATATAGAGGCAAATATAAAACAAAAAATCGAAAAAATAAAGAATGAGGAGTATATTTTCCATAACAGAATTGTAATTGATAATATTGTGCACATGAAAGTTATTTACGCTGCATCAAACAAATTGAGATACAAGATACTTTTTCCGTAAAAAAATTATATTTTCTTTGAAATGTTGGGTAAAGAGAGAAAAACTTCAGTTATGCAAAGTATCTTACTTGCTTTTGTGTAACGAAATATGCAAGCAAAACGAAAAAAAATAAATAATATTTTCTTATAAAAATTTGAAAAGAAAAGAATATTTGAGCAATTTTTTATTACAATATAAAGTACGTTATTGTTTTTGTGTTAAATTCTGTCTATAAGAATTTATAAACTCTAAGCTTTATATTACTATATCTACAATGTGTGTAGAAAAAATTAAAAAAAATATATATATATATATATAAAATTTTTCCAAGTCATTGAACAAAGTTTTCGGTGCACTGCACTTACTTGGCAACGAATTTGTTTAAAACGTTTTTCATGCTCTACCCGTATTCCTCATAATTTCATTGAGTGAGTAACTTAAGACATCAAATCATTGTTGTCAGCACTTTTTTGTTGTTGTTGCTGTTGTTGTTGCTGCTGCTGGTGCTGCCATTTTGCTTTATTTTAATGTTTCAATAATGTTGTTAGATACAAAAATTCGCGGCATCATAATCAAACATAAATGCTTTGACGTCGTCATTTTTAACAGCAGCAAATAGCAACTACAGTCAAGTCATGATTACCATTATGGGGCTATGGTACGGCTAAAGTATAGGCAATGCTCTATAGATAATACACATCAGCAAAAACTTATCAACGGTATAACGCCGTGCATTGTTTAGATATCAACATGCAACGCTTCATTTAACGCATATCAAAGAAATGTGTTAATTTTCCGAGCTCAAAGCAAATCCAACTAAACAACATATACATACATGTACATGTAGCTTTGCAGTTAGATGTAAAGCTAAGCTTGCGGGGGAAAGTAGTAGATAGAAGATAGACAGCCTAAATCTCATTTAGCTGCTTTTAATTTTTAATTCTTTTTTTTTTTTTTTTTGTGATGGAGGCGATGAGTAAGCTTTGCGTGTTCTTAGCTAAACGCCACGCCTACTACCTTTTATGACAACACTAAATGAGATATCTTCAAGCAATATGTTAGCTAACAATAAAGACAACAACATAATTGAGAAAAGATTTTTACTGATTTTTCATAAAATCGCCCCAAAAAAAAAAAACAAAAACAATTATGAAAAAAAGTAAGAAATTTTTACTTTCTTACTGATTTTTCATGTAATTTCGATTTACTTCCCCTGCCTCCCGTACATCTACATTTTATGCTTTTCAATCATAATGTATTCATAGTGTACCATTCTCTTTCGGATTTTCTTTATGTTGGTGATGGTGGTACCCACCAACATCATGATGGATTTGTCTTCAATTTCTGCATTTCATCAACGTCCTCGCCAACGTCGCTTTCATATCATTTGAAGTCACTCATCGTCATCGTCATCGTCATCGTCAGTCATGGCATGTGCGTGAGTTTATTATATTGTATGTTTTGTGGTAATTTTAATGATGTGCCATAAGTGACGCATTTTTTTTATATATATTTTTTTTTTCTCTGATTTTCTGTTTTTTCTAGCATGCAGCACATAGATACACACGCATACATGCTCAAGCATATACTATAGGTTGTTCTTTAATATGAATAATTTGCATTGTTTAGTTTCGTTGTGGTTAAGGTTGAGGTTGTTGTTGTGTTGTTGTTGTGTTGTTGTTGTGTTGTTGTTGTGTTGTTGTTGTGTTGTTGTTGTGTTGTTGTTATGTTGTTAGGAAGGAATTCGGCAATGTGTATAAAATTTGACACCTCTGGTGCGTGTTTCGCACAACTAAAATTTGTAGTTAATGAGTGGCGCATATGTTTTAGATACTTCAATTTCCATAATACATATTTTGACATGGTACAGCTGAATGAATGCATGTGTCGTTGTGAGCAGCATGTTTTAATAGTTTATTACTTTTCTACTTTTAAATAAAAGTGCCCTCATTAGTATTTATATTGTATTACTTCATTTAACAAAATGTATTGTACGAGTACAAATTTCCAATTTCCCAAACAAAACTCTCATTTTACGTGTAATTTATTAAAAATTTGCTGTATAATGAATGTGTAAAAGATTCAGATTAGCAAGTAAATGATTTTCTCCCCTATGTAGTAAACTTAAATATTTTTCCATAATATGCCATTGATTGGCTTCAATTAAGCAGTAAATTTAAAAATATTCGCAAACTTTTATATTACATAAAATAGCGTATCGTATCGGTGAGACCCTCAAGCGATTTCATTAAAACTGTATTAAATCAATTATTTGCTTCGCATATGTCAACAAAAAGCAATTGCTTCCCTAAATTGAAGCGCAAAAGAACGTAGAAGGAATAAAAAAAAAGCTTATTGCTTCTTTGAAAATCTGCAGCAGCACTAAAAGTGCAGCTACAATGCATACGTATGCTCTACGATATCAGGTTTACAACGCTTAAGGGCGCCTTTGATGCAGTACAAGTAATTTCGATAATTAACATGTGAACTCATTAAAAGTTTTTTTGTTCAGCTATAAATTTCGAAAAAAAAAAATTAAAAAAAATAAATAAAAACAAAATTCAAAATAAAAAAAAAAATTTACATAAATAAACTAAAAGCGAAACTTTCAGAAAGGAAGTGACTTTACGGCTCAAGTGGTGCCAATCGTTAATGTCTCAAAGCGTTTAGCGTAAATGTACCAGCAACTATTCCCCACTGCCTCCAAGGTACAGTGTTGACTCAACAACGAATGAACAGCGCAAATGAGTGACTGATGCGTTTTTAAATAACCGTACGAACAACATTTTTTTTAAATTTTTTTTTTGTATTTTTTGTATTTATAGCGCAAGCAGCAACTCGAAGTAATGCAGATGCGACTAATAGTGCTGCTGCAATTTTTTTAATTATGTCAATAATTAAGATAATGATGATTATTGTTTATAATGATGATGACAGCAAATTAGTTGCAGCACTTTAATAATAGAATAAAGTAAAGTAAAACAAAAATATGCCGTAACTCGTTGCTATGTAAATAGCATTATTGATTAGTTTATCTTGTGCTCGCTATAAATAAAATAACGATTAGTTAGGCTTTTCTGCGAGTCGCCAATTTGTGACGATCAATGAAAGTGTTTGTTTAGCTGAGTATATTATTACAAAGCACTTGCTTTTACAGAGTATAGCGCTTTAGTATGCAAGAAATGCACCTTTCCGCCAGAAAGATTGATGCTGAAAAAATGTTGCACCTGTCGAGCTGTCTGTGTTGTCAACCTCGTTAGGAAGACCGATGACATTGTAAGCGGTATGTGTAGATATGGAGTGGATTGCTTAAATAGCTTAAGATTGCAAATTTTCTCGATAGCCGATAAAGATTAAATTTGTTTCTTTATATTGAATTGATGTCACTTTAAATTGAGTTGCGAAAAAGTTAACGTTGATTGGATATTTTTCTCGTATTAATAAGTAATGTACTTAATTGATTTTAATTTTGCTTTTAAATGAAGATAAAATATTTATTTATTTAAATTCTGAGAGATTGGATTTATTTATCCAAGATTAACAAATATAATAACTAAAAAAATATATAAAAAAATGTTATTTAAACCAGTTAAGACTTCAGACACTTATTTTTACTTAAATACAACTAGAAAATTATATAAAACAATTATATTTAAACAAGTTAGAACTTAAGAAACTTATTTTTAATTAAATATAAAAGCACCTTAATTGCAAACATTTTCAAATCCATCTTTACGGCGCATTTTACATATTTTCTAGCCACATACCATCACTAATGTCAGAATCTTAGAGACTACCGAGCAAATTGGTATACTAAATGATATCGAAAAGAAAAAATATAGCTGACTCGGTCATACCCTTAAAAAGGATACGCACAGCATACTTTCCTCAGTCTTGGGTTAAGATTGTGTTAAGAAGAAGAAGACAATATGGAGGCGAACAGTATTCACCGCAATATACAAATCCTTTAACAAGCTTAGGTACATAGCACGGAGTAGGGAAAACTGAAAACTAATAGAATGGTGGATGATATTCTTTCTATAACTTACGTCAGTAGGAACCTTACCTTCAACAAACGAGGGAAAAATCTACACTTTAATTAGTAATTTAGAAAAAATAATATCCTCTTGACTAGTTGGTATCACTAACATGTGTTGAAAAAATCTTCCGTTGTCAGTAATAACAAAATTCAAATATATCTTTAATTCAATATTTACTTTAAGTGTCTTTCCTTTCCGCAAATCTGAAAATCTGTACTTATAATGGACTTTCGAAAATCTGGAAGGGCAACGTATCGTTACCTAAAAACTGGTGACTTACAAGTTAGACGAACAAGGTGGTTCGTCAAAGTTCAAAACCACTTTTCATCTAAAAAGAAAATCACACCTGGTGGTCTCCAGCATTCATTATCGCATTCTCTTAAAACAAATATATATATATATTTAATATATATACTACCAGGCAGATATGCTAAGCTTCAAATTATGGTGCACTAGTTACAGTAGATCACTCAAGTGTTCACAGATATTATAGAATGAATGTGCTTTAGACACTAACTTCTTTTAATCAATAAAAAATCATTATATATAATATTTTATTTTAGTTCAAAACCATAGTTGCCATATTTTTCATATTAAATTATTATTCAAAAAGAAATTTTTAACTCATTAAAATTATTTGAATCTTGAGGAATTGATATTTTGCGATTATTTTAACCTTTTTGGTAGCGAAATTTAATTTTTCGGCTTAAAATAAAATTCCTACAAAAAACTTATTAGCATAAATTTTATTATAATGGAAAATTTGCCTGAGATTGAAAATCACCGGCACAGTAAGATTACTGCAGCCTTTTTTCAGGATTCGCCGACTCATCAACTACAGCAATACTTAATTCCTTCGAATGTAAAAAAAGTATCTGATAGACCCACACGAATTTTTTTGGAATCTATAGCTTCCGAAGAACATCAAGTTAAACAGTTTCATGAAAAAGAGTTACAATCGACAGCTGAAAATCCATTCGTAAAACTACAGGATAATTTGCATAATATTACAGTAAAGCTCGGATCGCAAAAGAAAGAAGCACTTTCAAGAGAGAAAAATCGTCAAAAGTTAAGACAAAATAATACTGAATTGCGTTTACTACTACGACAAATTAAAAATGCCAAAATTTTACACTCTCAAATCAAATATAGAGAAAATGTAGATAGTAAGAAGATACCGGCTTATGTTGCAAAGAGAAATCAGGTAGTGGAAAATATTGAATATATGAACAAAGTAGCGGAACTCGAGAAAGCAGAAAGAGACGACATGTTGAAGAAAAAATTCGATTTACGTCAAAGTTTATTGAAGCAGATTGAGGAGAAGCAAAACTTTAGAAACGAAGAATACCAGTTGAAGTTAAAGGAACGTGAGCACATGAGAACTATGATGCGACATCTACAAGAACAAGATAGATACGAACAAATGGAAGAGAAGATACAACAAAAAGAAGACTATGATCGTATACTGAGATTTAAGAATATAAGGAATATAGTGAAAAAGCAGAAAAACGAAAGAGAAAATCACGCGCCTTTGTTGGATATCCTTGGTGTACGTGAACAGTATGTTGAAAAACTTAGAGCAGAGAAAAAAGCTTTAAGACAGAAAAGAGATGTATTAAGTAATGCCATTGGCGAACAATTACGATTAGCTTACGTAGAAAAAGAACAACGACAAAATCTATTGCAGGATTTGCTAGTAGAAGAACGTAAAGCTAATGAAGATAAACGTTACAAAAAACGTTTAGAGGAAGAAATGGAAATGCGTCACAAAACAAAGTTGGAAATGCAAAGGTTTCAAAAACTTAAAGAAACGAATAAAAAAATCAAAGCTCAAGAGCATAAGAAAATTGCAACGGAGAAACAAATTACCATGGTCGACATTATGGCAGAAAACGAAAAGATTGCTCACCAACTTCAGGAAGAGAGAAGACGACAGTATCGTATTGATATTAATCAACAATTAAAGGAAAATAGACACCATCGTGAAGGAGAGTTACTATTGAAGAAAAAAATTGAGAAAGATTGCAGTGACTTGCAGCAAAAGTTTGAAAATGATATCGAAATGGAACGTATGTATTTGTTAGGTAATCAGCCGGATAGTATTTTACAACAGTTGCAAGTAAAGAATATAGAGCTTATGAAGAAGCGTAAATATTTAAATGATCAAAAATTACCATTAAAGGCTAAAGGAAGTAAAATACTGAAATTATTGTAATTAAGGAAGATTTTATAAATTCAAAAAATAACAAAAATTATAAACTTGGAAAAATGGAATATTTAAAAAAAAATTTTAAAAATCAGGATTTTAATAAAAATTTAAATTTTTTAAAATTTTGAAAAATTATAAACATTTGAAAAATTATAAAAATTTAAAAAATTATAAAAATTTGAAAAATTATAAAATTTATAAATATTTGAAAAATTATAAAAATTTCAAAATTTATAAAAATTTCAAAATTTATAAAAATTGCGATAATTTTGAAAATTATTAAAAATTCAAAAAATTATAAAAATTTAAATTTTTATTAAATTTAAGTTTTTATAAAATTTTAAAAAAATTATAATATTTAAAAATTTATAAAAATTTAAGTTTATATAAAAATTAAGTTTTTATAAACATTAGAAAAATTATAAAAATTTGAAAAATTATAAAAAATTGAAAAATTATAACAATTTGAAAAATTTAAAAAATTGGAAAATTATAAAAATTTAATTATAAAAATTATAAAAAATTAGAAAATTATAAAAAATTACAAAATATTACAAGAATAAACTTTAAAAATTGACGACAAATTTTATGAAAATAAAAAATAAAAATAAAATAAAAAATGCTGCTTTCTCATTTATTTGTAAAACAAAAAAATTTAATTAGCGAAAATAGATTTAATTAGCAAATACACCCTAACATGCTTAAAAATATATAAATACTTATATCAAATTGAAATTTGTAACTTAGTAGGCTTAAAAATTGAGGTCAAGTCCTTTACAAGGACCTATAACCTGAAGCATTTCCTTACACGGCAGATGGTACGGGCGAAATTAAAAAAAAAAAATTAATGGATATAAAATAATAAAATATCATATTTATATACAGTGAACATATACTTATGATATACAAACTGTCGCATTTATCATTAACTTAATTCAACACTTCAACTTATATGCATGCCTCAATGCATTCATGCATGCCATTTATATCACTTCAGTTGCAACCATTGCAGATGCTGCATTGTCAGCACGAGCAAGTGACATGCAACCTGTTAAAGCTGCAACAGTCAGGATGTTGCCTATGCTGTCTGTGCTATCTATGCCGTCTATAACATAGTTACTCATAATGTTAGAGTTGATAATGATGATGATGAAGGTGAATCTATGGCTATAGAGCCACATTGCAACATTAGCAGCAGTGCGAAAAAAAAAATTTTTTTTAAAATATTTAAAGCAACATTCATGCAACAATTTTACATTTTTTTTGTAGCCTGCCACTGCTGCTTTAACTGCTTTGAGCGGCAATGTAATGTGAGCTTCCAGTTGCCAACAGGCTGAAATTACATCTCAACAGCATGTATATCGTTGCTCGCAAAATTGGCATTTATAAAATATGTCGTTCTCATATTTTTTCTTAGGTGCAAGTTGGTAGGCAAAGACACAAATGCATACGTTGGTGGTGCAGTGTTTGTGCTGAATGTGGTTATCATTGCTTAATGCTTGCAACTGCCTCAAATGTAGTGCAAATGGAACAAAAAATGCTGCTTTGCACCATAAATGTAATTGCAGTAAACAAAAACTTTGCGGTTTTATAAAAGCGTGACACACAACTTTATCTCATCACCTCAAGTTAATTTGTGGCATGATTTGCCACAGATAAAAGATATTAGTTTACACTTTGAATGCCACACAAATGGAATTTTTCATTAAGAAGCCTACATAGATTGACTTAGAAAAATTGTAGAATCACGTTCTGGAGTGATGTACGAGGCACATATTTATTTTGGTTTTATATTTCAATGAAGTTCTCATGAAATTTAAAGATGGAACGTAGCAGTAGAGAAATTTATAGAATAGATTATAAAGCATATTTGCTATATATTGAAATATATCTGAAAGGTTGGTATGAGATTGTATCTCAATATTAATTAGACAAGTTTTTTCTTCGAGTAACAAAAAGTTAAAAAGAAAAAAGAACGTTGACATGAACTGGAATGATTTGTTAAAAATATCTTAACTGAAATATTATATCTATATATATATATATGTAGATATATATATATACATATTATGTTTTTAACTAAGCTTCATAAGAAAGCTTAGTTAAACACAAAGTTTAAGTGTTTCAAAGAGAAAGCGCTACTTTCATACTAAACATTTATAGTCAATTATAGATGAAAAATATTTTGATTAAAATAAAATTTATTATTTCCTAGATAAATATGTGTTTTTCTTAGCAAAAAAATTCAAAAAAATTAGAGTATACCCATGAACTAATACTTGATTCAGGCAGAGTTGCATTAAACCTCTCTAAAAGCTATACTATATAATGCCATAATACTATATAATGCATTCCAAAAATTACAGCACTATTATATAGATACTACTTAATTTATGTTTTAATATACAATGTACAATACCGCTTTATAGTTGATAAAATGTTATAGTTTAATTGAATAGTACGGAAAAAATAACACTTATCAGTATATTTCATTTATTGAAATTTAGAAATCCGCTGATAATTAAACAACTAATGCACTTGTAAAGAGAAGTCTCTACACTACTTAAATAGGTACCGAGTTTTTCCGTGGGTTACCCAGTTAATAAACTCATTTGATATATAAACAGAGTTCAGAGTTGTTTAACGTGATAACCTGCTATAAAATTTTTATATCTTGGACATTGCTCTCAACACACGTATCGGTCCAATGCGTCGATAAACGCTTTACTCTAATTCCAAAGAGCTTCGTCGGCATCCATTGAAGCTATAGGTCTGCATATAGTATTCGCTGTTCTGTAAGCCACAGCGTCTGTTTGGAAAATGCAATTCTATAGTATATCGAATGAAAGTAAATGAATACGGAGTGAAGTTTTAATTTGGATCGCCAAATGTCATGCATTAACCTTTCGTTTCTCTTGCCACAGCGTCCGTTTGGAAAATGCAATTCTATAGTATATCGAATGAAACTAAATGAATACGGACTGAAGTTTTAATTTGGATCGCCAAATGTCATGCCTTAACTTTTCGTTTCTTTTAACTTTTTCGTCTTTTTTTAATATTGTTTTTATTTTTTTTTATCTTTCTATCTTTTCTTTATCTTTTCATTTTATTTTTTTTATCCTCCACGATACTCTCTTTAAGGAGTCAACCTGTTTTGCTCAAAATTACCGAAGGTGTGATCTTTTAACCGCGAGGCACCGGACTTACACACTCGTTTGGGTGCAGCAAATAAAACTCACTCCCTACCTGCTATACTCTAAACAGAGCGATTGGTGCCTAATAGAATTTAGTCCTCTCTTACAAAAGCATGCTTTACTTTGGAAATATTTAGATTCAGAGAATATTAACTGTTTGTGAGATTATGGAATAATTTTGATTAAAATATTTACGTAGAAACCCATTTCTTTTGTTAGCCGAAGGTGGCAAATCACAGAGAAAATATTTTTTGTTGTATGGATTGCGCAGTTTTTCAACGTAGAAGTAATATCGGTCTTTGGCATTCTTCTTTAATTACATTTAATTACCATTCCTTAATCACTTAATTAGTTAATAAAATTTTACAAAGTATCATTTTTAACTGTTTTGAGGAAAAGTATTAAGCAGAACAATTAAGATGGAAATTGTTATTATACACCTATCTAATATTATTTTTTCATTTAACGTGTAATATCAATTATAACGATTATAAAATTATGCTCTCAGATGTACACATTTTAAGCTCGAAAGGCGTGATTAGAAATCACCAACTTAATCTAAGCAGTAAATGCATTACGCATTCATAAAGAAACGTGCCATTATATACCAACTAAGTGGCCATATCAACAGCTTTTTATCTACTGCACTTGAAAGAAACTGTCAAGTAAGCTTAAAATTATACAATTTAATATCAAAAACAACAACAAAAAATGTAGTAGCAAAAAAAATTAATAATGAAGCAAATGCTTTAGCAGCATTTAATGCATTGGCAATGCCAAGAAACAGCAGCTCTCAGGCAAAAACAGTATTTACTGTAATGACAATTACAGCAAAAGCATTTAAGCAACAGCAGCAGCAACAACAACAACAGCAGCAGCAACAACAGCAACAGCAGCAGCACAGCACAACAGGCGCAGCTGCAAAAGTGTTAATTACACTTTTCGTTTATGCACGAATGCTGAAGCAGCAGCAAACGCGGCGGTGCATTGGCACAAAGTCTGGAACCAAGCAAGATGGGGAACTTGGGAATGCGTGCAATTAAAACCTGCCACATTGGCTAAGTACGAGTGAGTTCCTAACGAACTCAACTTATAGACTTACTGGCTTACTGAAATCGGGCGGTAGTGAAACGTCTGAAACCTTGGACAGACGTATTAACGTCAACGACATGTACGATTTAAGGTACGTACGTGAATGTTGCATGTTGTTCAACGCAGTTGGTAACTTCATTATCACGTTCATAATTAAGATTGCCTGAAGAGTTGCATGCTACAAAACATGCAATTTCTAATGCATTATTCTGCATTTATGCTGCATTTGTCCTCTAATTTCTTTTGATTTATTTCATTAGCTTTTTTTCTTCCTGTATTGTACATTTTTATGACGTTGCTGTTGCTGCTGCTGGTGTTGTTGGTGTTGTTGCTGCTATTTTCTCAGCTTAACATTTTATTTGTTAAATTGTTTTTCTAAAGATTTAAAAATTTTTAATTGAAAATCAACAATTAAAATTTTTTCTACCAAGTGTGTAACGCCAAAGGCTATTTGGTGCTGAGCTGTAGAAATATTGCTATTGTACGTACTCGTATTTGTTATTGCAGTTGTAGTTGCAGTTGCAGTTGCAGCTGAATATTAAGTAGAATTTGCTGGAACTCTATTCGTATAAGTTTGCGTATTTAATTCTTTACTATATATACACATACTGAAATGTTGCAAACAAGTTCATTACATAAGAGAAGCAGCATGTGATTTAATGCATTCAAGCGGAAAAGTAAAATTTAAACATCAGCAACAGCAGCACCAACAGCAACAGCACTAGGCAATAGCAACAGCACATATATATATATATATCATATAATAGCAGCAACAACTTTAAGTATTGCTTAATAAAATTGCATTCATAAAATAACAGCAATTAAAAATTGCATTGGTGTCTTATATGCACTTGTGTTGTTGTTATAGTTGTTGTTCTTGTTATATTGCCAACATCTCTGATTTCTCAGAATTTAAATTTTCCTATTAATTTTATTGAAGAAATTCGGTGTGCAATAGGCGCTTCAATGGTTCTAAAGCTCTAAATTGTATATAAAATAAAAAGTATTTCGAAATTATTTACTAAAGTGCTTATGGGAAAAGTATGAGTTGCTTCATGCAAATGAACATAAAGTTTAATAATTCAATAATAAAAATTGTGTAGTTAAAATTTAAAACTATAAATTTAATTATTTGCAATAACATTAATGAGGCAATCGTAAATTTAATAGAAGGCAATATATACTCAGTCATAAAACAAGTAGAACTCGCCATTTCCACTTAAGTGTAATTAACAATGTAAAAATAAAAATAAAAATATATATATGTACATGTATTTATATATATATGTATATACTGTACATAAAATCAATGAGAGAAAATATTTTTTTTCGTTAAAGACAGAAAATCCGAATCAAATTTTTTAGAAAGGTACCGATAAAAAATGCTATTAAAAAATAGTTAGCTAGACAAATAACATAGATTTGAGTGATTCCGATTTGTAACGGAGTACAGCAAACATCAGATTTTATATACAGGATTATACTCTACACAGATAGAAGACGTTGTGTCTTATGGCGAGAATGCTCTTTTATTCTATAGATATAAATAGTTTTTTAGGAATTAAGTTCTAACATTAGATCTTATATATAACGTCATTCCATAAACCAACAGTAGGTGCGAGGGTTAGAATGCTATCTTATTGTATAGATATAAATAGTTTTTAAAAAATTAAGTTCTAATAATGAGCATGATAAATTAGTGAAAACTGTGTGATAACATTACTACGGTGATTCTATACAATACCTGTACTTGACACCATGCCACTGGAACTACTTTCGATACACAATATTATGTAGTCAAAACAGAAACTCCCGTAAATCTTGAGCATTTTAAAAATAGAATTCTAACTAATACCTAGGCGTGTTAGCGTACCACAGTAACTACTGTAGACGTCCACAAAACAAAATCTCCTCTAAATCGAATAGTGGACCATAGGAAAAGAATATTACACCTTCAATGGTATTTACAATCTAAAAAAATTATACAGAATAATAGACAATAATAGAATTTAATATTTTATAGACAAAATAACTCCAAAACCACTATTGATGAGTACTTCTACTCGAATCAGCTTATAGCCAGCAAAAAATTCAATTAATTAAAAAATTATAATAATTATGATGTTGCAATTAAGTTTTGTTCTAACCTCTTATTAAATACAATAGTATATATTAAGTAAAATAGTCGTTGCAGTTTATAACTATTTAAATTAAAATCAAATTTGATATAGATTTGTCTGTAACAAAAAGTCTGACTGTATAACTAAAATTGTCTTAGAATTCTGTTCATAGGCCCCATGGGCTGTGGGGCTGATAAGTTACAAGAACACATCAGCTGTTGAATGAGCGGAAAACATTCTGACTACTGGAAAGCTCAAAAATTTTAACGGTTACACAAAGCAACCGATTAAGAGAAATCTCGGCAAATATAGAATCAACAATAAAGGAATGATTTTAAGCTCTAGCAGAAAAGATATAAAAATCTATAACTTTACTCAGTAATGGTCGCTATATCCTAAAATATCATATAAAATATATAGCTGTAAATGACAGTGAGTCCTGAAGGGTATGTATGCGAATGGAAAAATGATAGCTCAGATATTATAAACATCAGAGGTTAGGGTTAAACGGAAAACACATAATTTATGGTCTGGGTTTGAAGACTCTAAAGGGTAAAAGATAAAAGCTAAAGGTAAAACTCAACTCATAAGAGATGTTAGATTTTTTAATAGTCTAAAATTTGGTTGACTTCAATAGAAGGTTGTTCAATAGTTCTTTTTAGTTTTTAATTAGAGGGTATGTTATAATCGAAAATAAAGTATAAATCACTTCCAACAGATGATGAATTTAAGTTCTAATTTCAATTAAATTAATTTTAAAATTTAATTAAACTAAATAAAATCGATAATTTTAAATGTAAATTAAATTCTAATTTAAACACGACACCAAATCAAAACTTACAAAATTTTTTTTTAATATTTCATTATTTAAATTGATTAATAAATAATTATGGTTAATGAATTAAATTTATTTATGTTATTTTATTTTACCATAATGGGGAAGAAATTAACTTTGCTGAGAACTACTATAAAAAATTTTTTTTTTAAATCTTTAGATAAAACATATAAGACAATTCGATAAGAATTGTTTATAGTTGGCAATGTTGGTAGTTATCCTAGTAAATCTTAACGTAAATGCTGCAAATGCACTGAATCGTTTTTGCTGAAAGTATCTGCAGATAAAAATCCGTGCATCCTTTTTATTAAAATATTTGCAGCGCTGCAGCAGCGATTGTCGTTGCAAAAACATTTGCGAGAAAAAGGAAAACTGTTAGGAAAATTTTGTAAAAATACGTGGAAAATCATAAATTCAAATGAGCAAAAATATTTGTATAGTGACACATGCAAATCTGCAAACAAATATTGAACAAATATTTAAAATTTCAAATGTGAATTTCAAAATAAAATAGATTTTTTGATTTTCTCAATCTCGTTTTCAAATTTTTGTTTCGGTTTGCGTTTTTTTTTTTTTGTGGACTAAATTCTTTCAATATTGTCTGAGATACTCGTATATCTCAACCACAATTTCGCAAATATTTGTCTGTGACAAATATCGCGCAAATAAACAGAATCGTAAATCAGTTGACTAGAAAGTCAAGAAAAAATGGAAGAAAAAAATGGTAGATTTATACGCGATATGCCACAAAAATTGTGAATGGGCGAAATTCGGAAAAGGAAAAACCATCACGAAAATCTGAATGGAATCGAAACGTAAAATTTTGTTTACTTAAGGGAAGCACACAAAACAAGCAATGAAAATTTTGGGAAATTGTGCCAATAGCAGCTATGATACTCGTGCTATTGACTGTGTACCGTACACTCACCTGTCAGAAAAATAAGCATGAAATTAGAATTCGACACACAAAAAAATCTGAAAGAAAACCTTCAAGTGAAAAATAAAAAAAAAGTATAGGAAAAATGGAGAAGAAAACTCCTTGCCAAACTTGTGAAAACAAAGTGAATTGATGTATAAAAAAAATTATCATAACTTTTCTGGTTGTATTTACCTTTACTCCTTTCAGTATCTTTCCGCATAAATTTAGATAAGCGTCTGCATTCGATTTTCCCAAGGGTGCGTGAAATGATTTGTATGAACGACGGCGTACCTCTGAAATCAAACAAATAAAAAATTTATTATTATTTATGCATTTTAAATTTGATTAAATTTATTTTGCATTTCTGAAGACCTTTAAAAAAGGTTTCATTGGGTAAAGTGTAATTAATTAAAATTATCTGTAAATTTAAAAATGTTAAAAAATATTTTAATAATTACCAAAAAAAAAATACTATTTAATTTTCATTTAATTTTTTTGTGGACAATGAATGGGAACGGAATCAAGCATATACGTCATCTCTTTATGCTCTTAATATTTTGTGGACAAACTTAATAGTAGTTCTTTTGCTTAGCTATAATTTTAGGCTGTCCATGCACTTTGTTTGGACTGTCAAGTATGGTTTCTTTCCCGTTATTTCATCATCTTAACAAGCTGAAACTGATTTATATGGCAGAATGACGTCTATGCTTAGAAACATATGAGAACTGAAGTCAGATTCTTTGTGACTGACTAGACCAAAGAGAGAACATAAAGGTGACAGTTGGTAAATTAATGTGATATTAGAACAATATCCTCAATAGGCAACATATTGGCATATAATCAAAGGATGGAGTGTCTTATATTTGCTTAGGAACTGCGACTAGTTAGATCACAGTACTTTACCTATTTTAAGTAATATAAGAGAAAGCAGTCAGATTAGTATTAAGTATTTTAATTAGTATAAAGCGTATTAGTATTAATTAGTATCGATTTAGTAACATTCGATTTTCGCATATGACCTTTGCATGTCTGTGCAAATAATCAAGCAGTAATAAAAACTATTGCAATCAGAACGCTTAAATTAAGGATTGTAATTAAACATCGTATCTCACAAATCAGCATTTTGTATCACAAGGTTTCACTTTGTTAAATTCCTGGACAAGCAGCATATACAATGTGAAACCGATGACAACCAGGCACAGAGGTAGGCCAAGAACAAAATAGGATGAAAACGTGTATAGTGATCCAAGAACAATTGGAGTACTGAACTGGAAGAGAGTAGTTGAAATAGGAATAGATGGAGGCAGATAATGAGCGAGGCCAAGGTTCACACTAGACTGTAGTGCCAAATAAAAAGAAGTTTCTGGATGTAACGATATCTTCGGAAACGAATAAGTAGTTATTAAATAAAAATATGCTTATTAAAAATAAAAAAAAGGAGAAAAGGAGAAACCACAAAAAGTATAAATGCTAAGCTAAACTTTTCACTTCATTATTTATCTGTTCAATTTTATAGATTTTTTTTTTTTATTTGAACCTGAAGTCATTTTCACTTAAGGACTTAATTACTTTTGTAAATAATTTTTATGGACATTCGTTATTTTCTCAAAGCAGTCAATATTATTGATATATGTATACATATAATTAAATGTGTAGATACATCATTTATAAATAATTATATACATTACAGTAAATAAATATTAGCCAAGACCATAGCACTTAACGTTATTTATAAATTTATATTTTCTTTAAATTTAAAATTATTTTCAACCCTCAAAAGTAAATTTTTGAGCTTTTTTTTTTCTGATAAAAGTTTCTCTTTCAATATTGTGAAATTTAGTTCACTGATTTTCTGATTTTGCCTTGCCGGGCAGCCGGAATTCACTTGGCCATATTTTATTTAGAGTTAATTATTGTTGTTGTAGCTGTTGTTTATATGTTTGTTTGTTTGATTGTTTGTTTGTTTACTCATTTGGGCTATTGTAGTTATTGTTGCTTTTTGCTCCTGCAACAGATGTATCTGCAACAAATTTGTTCAGATTGGTGAAGTTTGTTTTTATTGTGTACTTATTTGTTTATTTGTGTTTGAATAAATAAAAGAAAAAAGTTTATTCAGTCAAAAGTTTTTCAATTAAAGCAAAATTTGAAAATTGTTTTAATTTTCTATTATTTCTATCGAAAGAACTTTCACATTAAAAGTATATATATACATAGATCTAATATATGTGCATGCATAAAAACCTAATCATATCCAAAATTATAATATGATTTAAACAACACTCCTTGAAATAATTTGGAGTAATCTAGAAAAAAAAATTATATCAGAAAATTTCTAAAATATGTATTGATGTAACCTAACTAGTAGATTGCCAGTAGATTCTCATAGAAAGAAGATTGTTAACTGCCAAATAAACACTTCGTTACAGACTAAAAAATTTTGGTTAATGATTTTTAAACACAGTTACTCCGTACCAGTAACATATGCAAGACTTGAGAACATGGACTTTACATAGAAAGAGGACTGTGAGTTGACACATAAATATTTTCCTACATTTTGAAAAACTCTGCTTAAAGATTTTCAAATACAAATACTCCATAACACTAACGTCCTTAAGCGGAGATGGGAAAGACAATTAAATAATTATCCCCTCTTTAACAATATCTATCAATATCAATTTAAATGCCTACAATCTATAATAAAAAAACTTAGTTAAATGCAAGAACATTGTTCAAAAAAAAATATTTTTTAGTATAGCTTCCGATGACACAATCCTTTATACAATCGTCAACCCGGTACTGCCTCGTACATTTCAGAAGTTAGGGGTAATTGGGTTTAGCATAGTCCCAAAGCGACAGTAATAATGAGAAATTGAACTGAATTCGAAAAAATGCTTTTTCATCGATGTTATGTTATGCAGACAGTCAGTGTTTCGTCAAGTGTGAAAATAATGTTGTTTTCAATATAAATTTAAAATTTGAAAATTAGAGAAAAAAAGAAATTTCTGTGCCTTGTCAAAAGGGTTATAATAGTGTTCACAACCAATAAATTGGTGTCAAAATCAGAACTTTTTAGAAAGAAATATATATAAAGTATTATCGCATATTCACATCAAATATATCAATTTTTGAGTACAGGCACGCAGAAAAAAAAGATGTTTTTTAGTATATCTCACTCTAGGCGCAATCTTGTCTATGTTATTACCTACATAGTAATAGTAATTACTTGATTCTTTTAAGCTTAACATTTTAATATCTAATTATTCTTAAACCAAAAACTTGTATGATGGTATAGTAAGAAACCCGAATTTACTGCAGTCATACAGTTAATTTAAATTCAATTAACTATGTGAGATGATAGTATACTGGTTGTTGAGTAACCGAGTCCCATAAGTTTTGGTTGTACTGGCGATCCAAAGTGATCCACTTAGGTCTATTGCCCAATGTGTTATAGTATAGGGACAACCTCAGAGGTTTAAAATCAGCTTGAACATTTGACAAAGTTTAAAATGCTATTTAATGTGAAGTTTTGCAGTTGAGCAAGATTCTCAAAAAAAGAAGTTCTTAGAGAACCTTTGTTCTGGGCAAGACCTAAGCAGTTGAGAAGCACTTTCATCGTCCTTTCTGCAACTGCGACAGATATAATTGAGTGTGAGATTCAACTTACTAACATGGTTTCCTAAACTGCAATGAGCAGTGAGTAAATCTACTACAAGACTGATATCTGTACGAGTCATCTCAATAAGAGTATGGGATTTACTTTTATTTGAACGTGGCCATATTTCATACAGAAACCTACAAAGCGTTGAGTCTTACCTCATATTATTAAAACGTTTAGCATAAAAATATCTTAGTAGCAACTGAGCTAATAGCTACGTAGTTAATTTAAAGTTAGTTGTCTTCTAACATTGTACTTTTTGTTGTGTATGAAGTTATTGTATGTTGTGATAGTCGATAGGAGCTTTCAAAGCATTCTCGTCTAAGGATCTGTTAGTGCTACACCAACTGTTATATTTAAGTTCAAGTCTACATTTTTTTCATTTTTTTATGGTAGAAGATCCACATTAAATTGCTTATAACACAAATTTTGACCTTAGCCATTAGCACTCAAATACTTATTACTTCCTGCTATGAAAACATAAACGACTTTGTTATGGATTAGTCTATCTTAGTTTTCTTGTAACTACTATTAGTATTTTCTTTAAAGCAGTTATAGAAGTTGAAAAAGTTGAAGAGTGAAGAAAAACTTTTTAAATCTTTTTATGGTCTGTCTGTCTATGTTATTTATTGTTAATTATATATTTTACATTACTTTAAAGCAATTTTAAGTGCCGCTAAAATTGTTTTAGTTAATTCTCTAAGTAATAATAAGAAAATTAAATTGTTTAAATTTTAAACAAATTAAAACATTAAAATACATTTACTGTACGAATGAACAGATTTTATTTGGAAAATAGCAAATCAAGCATGAAATGTAATTAGAGATGTTAGAAAAATATTTCATTTTCATAAAATCATATTTGAAACATCATCCTAATAATTATATTAAATTTTAATTTCAGCAACACGAGCAGCGTGTTCTTGCTCCAGAAAAAGGTAAAGTAATTATGTGTATATGCCCAGCCCGCTAACTGTGCTCTATGCCCTGGTAGCTCGTATCTGGTATCTATGCTGTATAGTACAAGTAGTTATAGAGTAGTAGCGCCTCTTTTACACGGGAAATTAAATTGCTGCGATGATATGCAACACTGAACTGGATTAATTATTGACTGAGCAATAACGAACAACGAGTAACGAGTAGCGAGTAGCTATAACGGCAGCATTAACGAGTAGTAGTAGTAGTAGTAGTAGTAGAAGTAGCAATAATTACCAAAGTATTGGTATAGCACGGCACAGTTCGTTAATTAAGCTAAGTCAGCCGATAAGTACAAATTTAAAATGAAATGAAAATATTTAAAGAGTAACTATCGATAATTGATGAAGGCTAGCTAAAGAGTAAGTTTAAATAGTATTATAATTACAATAAAAAAAAAAAAAAATATTGAAAAACAAAAATTTGAAGTAAAATAATAAAATAAATAAATTAATATAAAATGAAAATTATAAATGAAAATTATAAATGAAAAAAAAAGGAAAAATGCAGAAAATTAACAATTTCACAGTTTGTTAACTGCGAATTAAATATGTTGCAACATGTAAGACGCTAGCAGCAAAATTTGTATCGCTGCTGTGTTGCTGCTGCTGCTGCTCTTACTCTTTAGATTGCAGTTAAATTTGTTGGTTGTTATTGTAGATAC